TTAGAGCTCCGTAGATGTTTCAGAAAATCGCGTTTGACACGCGCAAAAAAAAAAAAACATGCAGACAAAAAACCTGACACGCACACGAAACATTTTTGCGCCTTCGTAAACAGACAAAATAACCAAATCTTGTAAGGTCACGGCAATGTAGCCACAATTGCGACCTTGTTTGTGAGAGGACGTCCCTGTTATAATATTTTCTCACTATTATATTTTCCGTTATCCTATTCTCCCTTTTCTCCTCTTTATTTTGGTTTTTATCTCATCTCAATCGGCCTACTATTCTATTTTCTAGAGCCTTCTATTTATTTCTCTTATTTCCTACTTTTCCCACCGACATACCTATTATACGGCACCGACAGCGCCGACAGTGGTGTATACGGTGTAATCTGGGCGTAATCCCAAGTTCCAATAGCCTTGCGTGTTTGTGCGCACTTGTGATTGTAGTATCGGGAAGGGCGTGTTCCCGAAGGTTCGTTTTATCTCGTTTATCCTTGTATTTTCCGAGTATAAAAATGCCTTGTATTCAGTTTTAGTGACGAGTTTTGATTGAGAATTCGATCCTGTGACACTTGGTAATGAGAGCCGTTCTCACTCGACGACTCTCGGCTAAGCAGCGGTCGCGGAAAAAATCGCCTCGAAAAACCGCCGGGGGCGACCAATTCGACGCCGATTTCTGGTAAGCACCAGTTCCGCGCTTTTCGAATTAACCCCCTCGCGTGGTTTCTGAACAGGATGGGTTCGCCGGCGACCAACTGTCAAACATCATATATGTTGTGCTTGTTTAGGCTACAGTGGGTTAGCTGTCAGAATATTATAGCTTACTTATGTGTGTAGGCTATAGTGGGGTATCCCATAGGGGGTACAACCCAACTAGGGTTTCCTATTTGTACTCACTTCGTTCATAGTCATTTCATTCTCGTTCTAACTTTCTCATGGTATCGAGCAGGTTCCCCCGTGGGAACTGTGCTTAGGGCCCACCACATCGAACTTTTTTTTTCTGCCCGGAGCGCGCTCCGGGCCCTTGCTCTCCTTTTTTTTTCGATCTGCCCTACGGCCCGAGCGCCGCCTTAGCGCGCCGCCCGCCCTAGCAGCCCGAGCGCCGCCTTAGCGCCCGCGCCCCGCTGCCCGCCCTCGCGCCCTAGCGCCCTAGCGCCCGCGCGCTGCCCGCCCTTGCGCCCTAGCGCTCTCCCGACCCGCTGCCCGCCCTAGCGCCTTCGCGCCCTAGCGCCCGCACGCTGCCCAGAGCCGCCCGTGCGCCACCCAGGGCCGCCCGTGAGCTAGCCGCCCGTGCGCCACCCAGGGTCACCACGAGAGGCCCCTACAGTGACGATGCTCTTCTCGGCCGCTAGCAGGGACTTCTCGAGGAGGTCGACAGTGAGGGTGGTGGGACAGACAGAGAGAAACTGGTCCCTAACAGCACGAAGGGACTCAGGGAGACGGGTGACTAGAAAGTAGAGGGTGATGTACATGAGAGGGGGGTTTTCGGCGCAGAAGGCAGCAGGAAGCGCAGCTCGGTAGCGAGTGTCACTAGCGCGAAGGTGGGTAAAGAGGTCAGCGACTGTAGGAAAGGCAGCAAGGTCAGCGAAGAGGGTGGCGGTGGCGGTGGTGGCGGCGGAGGCGGGGGTGGCGGTGGTGGAGGTGGTCGGAGTGGCTCGTCCCAGCGGAGCAGCACTGGGGGTGGTCAGCGCCAGCAGCAGCAGCAGCAGCACCGCTCTCGCGACGTCCCCGCCCCTCAGCAGCTCCGTGAGTGGTACTCGCAGCGTCAGCGCGGTGGGGCGTTCGGTCCCTGCACCTACGTCCTTCGCACCGGCGACCGCGCGGGTGAGCAGTGTGGGGGCACCCACACCGCCCGCCGCTGCTTTGCCCGCTTGACCGACGCTTGGCGCCAGCAGTTTCCGGAGGCCTCTGAGATCCCCCGCTGGGGAGAGCTGTCTAGGGCTGGTGTAGCCATCTTTGATCTTGACTTTGATGCTATCCTTGCTGCCATGTATGCTGTGACTGTTACTGATGAGGGTGACTGTTACCGGTGTTTCCCGCCCGACCCGGGCATTGGTACTGCTGCGTTAGGTGCCAGTGAGGCTGCTGCTCTAGGTGCCAGTGCGTCTGTGCTGCCAGGTACTAGTGAGTCTGCACTCTCAGGTACTGTGTCGGCTTCGGCCTCTCACACCTTCACCCTTGACTCTGGGGCGTCTCGCTCCTTCTTTCGGGACCGCACCACTCTCACGCCGCTTAGTCGCCCGGTTGCGGTGTCCCTGGCTGACCCCTCTGGGGGTCCTGTCCTGTCTCGTTTCTCCACAGTCCTCCCGTGTCCGGCGGCTCCCTCTGGCACCCTGACTGGTCTCTACCACCCCTCGTTCTCTACGAACCTGGTGAGTGGTGCTGACCTACAGGATGTGGGTGTCCACCAGTTCACTCCCGCTCGTCAGCGGGTGACACACTGCACAGAGGCTAGCACAGGTCGCCACCTGGCTACGTTTACACGTCAGCCAGGGTCGAGCCTGTACACACTGACCACTGCTTCTCCTCCCGGTGCTGAGTCTGGTAGAGTCCCTTCGTCTGGTTAGGTGTTCGCTGCAGCGTCCAGGTCTGGTCCTGAGTCTGCCCCCTGTTCGTGTCGCCGTCTGTCTCACGAGACTCTCCTCTGGCACCACCGCCTTGGCCACCCCTCTCTGCTTCGGCTCAGAGGCATGGCCTCCCGTCTTCTTGTGTCTGGTCTCCCCCGGTCCCTCCCTCCCCTTCCTCCGGGCCCTGGCCCTGCCTGTGTCCCCTGTGTCGAGGGGCGCCAGCATGCTGCCCCTCACTCCTCTCAGTTTCCTCCGACAGAGGCTCCGTTGCAGACGCTTCACATGGACGTGTGGGGCCCTGCCCGCGTCCGTGGACTCGGTCACGAGCGCTACTTCCTGTTGGTGGTTCACGACTACTCGCGTTACACCACAGTCTTCCCCTTGCGCAGCAAGGGTGATGTCACTGAGGTGCTGATCGACTGGATCCGCGCAGCTCGTCTCCGGCTCAGGCAGAGCTTTGGCTCGGACTTTCCTGTGTTGCGTCTGCACTCGGACAGCGGCGGCGAGTTCTCCTCTGGCCTTCTGCGTGCCTACTGTCGTGCGCGAGGCATCCGCCAGACCTTCACGCTTCCGGACTCACCGCAGCAAAATGGGATTGCAGAGCGCCGCATTAGCATGGTCATGGACGTCGCTCGTACGTCTATGATGCATGCGGCTGCCCCCCATTTTCTGTGGCCGTTTGCGGTCAGGTACGCGGCGCATCAGATCAACCTCCACCCCAGGGTCTCCAGGCCGGAGACCTCCCCAGCCCTGCTGTGGACGGGGCAGGTTGGCGATGCGTCGGCGTTCCGGGTCTGGGGATCTCGGGCGTTTGTCCGCGACTTGTCTGCGGACAAGCTGTCCCCTCGCGCTGCTCCCTGCGTCTTCCTGGGGTTCCCCCCCGACGCCCCTGGGTGGCAATTCTACCACCCCACCACTCGACGTGTTCTGTCCTCCCAGGACGTCACGTTCGACGAGTCGGTACCCTACTACCGCCTCTTCCCCTACCGCACTCCGTCCCTCCACCCGCCCCCGCTCTTCTTGGTACCAGGTCCCCCCCCGGTAGACCCCCTCCCCCCTCAGGGTCCTGCCCCTTCAGGTGTGTCCCAGGTAGACGCGGTCGAGCCTGTCGAGGTCACTGGTGACTCTGGTGCTGCTGCGGGAGCTGAGCCTGGGGGTGCTGGGACTGGAGGTGCTGAGCCTGGGGGTGCTGAGCCTGGGGGTGCGGAGTCTGGGGGTGCTGAGCCTGGGGGTGCTGAGCCAGGGGGTGCGGAGCCTGGGGGTACTGAGTCTGGGGGGGCTGAGCCTGGGGGTGCTGGGCCTGGGGGTGCTGAGCCTGGAGGTGTTGAGACTGGGGGTGCTCCGCCTGGAGGTGCTTTGCCTGAGGGTGCTGAGCCTGGAGGTTCTTCGCCTCACCAGCTGGGCGGCCAGTGTCCCCTGCACAATCGCTGGGCAGAGCACCACAGTCACAACCTGGAGCGGCGTGCTGTGAGACAGCACTGGCAGCGTCTTGAGCATGTGAGTTGGCATGGTCGGATCGAAACTTGACTTCATCTACACTTACCTCGTTTGTGACTGAAACCTCGTCGTGGCACATCAAATTCTGTTTTTCCTTTGCTTAAGCCTACTGCACGCACGCAGCTCACTGAGCCATGTCCGGTTCTGCAAGTCTCCTCTGTTTCGAAAGTGTGTTTGCCTCACGCGGCAAGGCATTGTGAGCATGTGTGCATGTGAGCATGTGTGCATGTGAGCACGTCTGAATAATCCGCTTTCAGTATATTCTGAAAAATAATGTAGCAGCCATATCTTACTTGCACAATTTACTTGTTCTTTTGCATCTGTTTCCGTGATTCTGCACATCACAGCAAATCAGCGCTTTCTGCACGTGGTTAGCATGATTGTACAGCACACTCATCTTCTCATCTGCTGTTGCTGTGCCCTCCCAACCCATTGGTCATCAGAGGCGTGTCTTACGCAAACCTCAAGGGCTCACTACCAGCAGCTGTTTCCTTGCTCTCAGCTCTCACCTACCTGTAAGCTCTCACGGATCCGCTTTAAAAGACTTGTTTGGGACTGGCCGCACCTGGGTGGTTCCTTTTGCGACAACACGCAATGAATGCCCATGATCCATAGATATGTGCCTAGCCGAACCGTGATGCATGCAGTTGGCAGTGCAGCAATGACCTCGCCTCCCTCACTCTCTGCTTGCGCCTCACAGCGACCTGCAGAAAAATCTATTCCACCAGCGCCTCGATTCATTCACCACCAACCTTAAAGCCCTGCCAGTACTAGCCGACATGTGAGTGGCAACGTGTGGCAGTCAAGGGGGGAGTGAGAGGAGGAGACTCGCGGAGCTATCTTGTCTTGTATCAGCTTTGACCGCACTTCACTCTTTGTCTTCTGACCTGCTCATGCCTTTTATATTGCTTTTTTCGTTATGAGGTGCTTTCTGTCATGCCTGTGCTTGCCTTACCCTTCTACATGCCGCCCCTCATCATCTCATACCGGCAACCTTGTCTCTGCTCCTCTTGCAGCCGCCTGCACTACAACTACTTGTATGGCGAGGTCCCCTCGTTTCTCGTGGGACTCCCAAAATTCACTCAGTTGTAAGTCTGTGCACCGCACCATATGCTTGCACATTGCTTTGAGAAGTTTCCCACTTTCTTTGGCCGATCATCGCGTTTGCCCGCTTCTTATAGCGCCTCCCACCCCTCTCTCGCTGCTCTCTTCCTTGGCCAGTGGCGTTGCCAGCAACTACCTTACAGGCACCGTGCCGGCACTCTCCAGCGGTCTTCGCACGCTGGACGTGCGATACAACTTCCTCACGGACGTGCCAGCAGTCACCTACACGTACTGTGGCGGCAACAACAACTGCCTGCTCACGCCCTCCAAGTGCGCCACCGCTGGCTCCACTCAGAGGCCTACGGCGGACTGTGCCATCTGCGGCACCACCAACGCCGTGGGCCCCTTCTGCACTGCCTCAGGAGAGGTGTGCATGCCGGACGCGGCTGCAAATGTTGCCGCGGGCACTGTGAATGCGCCGGTGCTTCCCTTGCTCTTCATGGGGTGCGCGGGCGGGACCAACTACATGAACGCAGCTGATGGTGAGTGCCTAAATAATACCTCACCTGCTTCATATCTCTTCTTGAACGGTGGTTAGTATAAGTGCACATATAGTAACAAACAAGGTAAGTCGTTGGCTACACTCGGCTAAGCAACTAGTCTAAGCACACAACCAATAAATAAGCATACCTGTAGCCATAAATGCCAGTGGGTGGGTATTCTACCTGTCCTCACCGTTTCAACTTCTCTCTATCTCATCACCGCGTGCGCTTCCCCCCAAGTCGGCCATGAGGCTCACCTTCACCTCGTGGGCCACCACCAATCCCTGCCTTGCTGAAGGCACTTCTCCGAATTATAATGAGTGGGAGAGAGTGACCTGCACGCCTTTTGGCCGCCTCTACTCGATGTGAGTGCAGGCGGCAGGGAAGTGTGTTGGGTCAATTCATTTAAGCTCGCACTCGTTTGTGTCTGCCCGGCCGGCTTATGATTTCCGTCTCACTGTATCGTTGCGTTTCTACATCTGTGTGTGTGTGTGTGTGTGTGTGTGTGTGTGTGTGGCTGCTCCCAGCAACCTGGAATCTGCAAAACTCGTGCGCAAGAGCTTCCCCTCAGACATCTCTAAGCTCACGACTCTTACCGGCCTGTAAGTGCTCCGTGCTGTGGGAGTTACCCGAGGATGCATTGTAGTGTATGCAGGAGGAATTCACTGTTCCCGTCTCTTCGTGTGTGGCATGCATGAGGCATGCTCCGCAGCTCTCCAAGTTTCTGTGTCTATGCTGTCCGACCACAATCAGGCTGCCTTGCTGTCAGACTGACCGCAATCGGGCTGCCCTGCTGTGCTGCTTTGCTGTGCTGCTTTGCTGCATGCAGGTGGATTCCGTCAAACTTCCTGGATGGCAGCCTTGACGCCTACGTCAAATACTTCTCCACGCTCACCAACTTGAAGTCTGTGTGAGTATTGCTGGATTCTTGCAGGTTTGTTGTTGTGGTTACTTGCTTCTATACACTGATGCCACAGTGCCAATGCTGTGTACGTCATACTCGTCCTCTCCTTCCATTGTGTGTGTGCTTGTGTCTCCCTTGTCCTTGCAGATCCATGCAGTACGATTATTTCTCTGGGAGTTTTCCGAGTGTGTTCACAACTCTGCCCATTTTGAGCGATGTGTGAGTATGGCAAAATGCTCGTCTTCTTTCTCTAGATCTTAGGGTACTAGTGCTGCGTTTGCACTCAAAGCAGGTAGACGCTGGTATTCCAACCCTTTCTCAATACGGGTTGCCTGCCCCACCCCACATCCTCAGGTGGCTGCGATGCAACTACCTCACGGGCACGCTCCCAGCGAGCATAACCAACTTTAAGTCTCTGGACATTGGTCTGAACTTCTTTGCTGGGGTCATGCCGTCCCCATCCTGGAAGCTTTGCAGTGCCTACTACAACTGCTTCTCTAACCTGGGCAACTGCGCTTGGCAAGCGAGGGTTGCAGGCCAGTGCAGCATCTGCGGCAGCACTGACTGCACGGGCACGCTGTGCGGACCCGGGAAGGCGTGTTTGCCGCAGGACGCTAGTGCTCTGATCGCGGCTGGGACGTTGAATGTGGGGCAAACGAACCCAGCTTGCATGGACGTGCCCATGACCATCCACCCCGTTGACGGTCAGTCGCCCCTTTGTGCCCACTTGTACACACTTCAACCTTGGTGCTTCGTGCTCCACCACCCCCTACACTCGCCGCCACACTTGCTCTCTCGACCCATCCCTTGGTCCTCTCGCGTAAGTTCCCTTTCTCCTCATGCCATCCCCAACAGCCGCCGCCCTGCTGAACATCAAGAGCACGCTGGGTGTGACGTACACCACGTGGACCGCCACCAGCCCGTGCCGCCTGTTTGGAAGCTTGGTGGGCTTCCCGGGCGAATGGGAAGGGCTCTGGTGCAACGGCGACGGCAAGGCTCTCCTATTGTGAGTGCACACCTCGGCCGCACCTCTACATCACCCGCACCATGCCGTGTCTCCTTCATCCTGCTGCTTCAATCAGCTTTGTGCATGCTCTGACTGCTGTCTGTGTGTGTCCCCTCCCAATTGGGTAGCATAATAACTCATCTGCCCTCTTGCATTCGGTGTCACACGTGGGGTGGGGTGGGCCCAATCCCTTCCTTGCATCAGTGCTGTGGACGGCCTGGGCCTCAAGGGGTCAATCCATGCTGAGATGTCCGCGCTCACGACTCTCACCCGAGTGTGAGTCTCCTCTGCTTCACTCTTATGCTGCTGTACTTGCTTTCACATGGCTCTCCTACCACCATGTTGCTGCATTCGATGATGCCTTCCCTATTTTGGCCTGCTTTTGTGGTCATGTGGAGCCATGTTGCATTGATACATGTGGTGAAGGTTCAAGTGCAATAGCCTCTCTCACCTCCTTTTCCTCACCTCACCTGCGCCCTCTGCACGCCCCCTCTTCCTTCTGCTCGCCCCCTTTGCCCTCTGCACGCCCCCCTTTGCCTTCTGCTCGCCCCCTTTGCCCTCTGCTCGCTCCCCCTTTTCCTTCTGCTCGCCCCCTTTGCCCTCTGCTCGCCCCTCCCCCGCAGGTCGCTGACGTCCAACTTCTTCAACTACCGCATCGACTCCTTTACCTCAAGCATGAAAGCCTTGCCCAATCTGGTCGACATGTGAGTGTGGTCCACATGTGAGTGGCACAGTGAGCCTGACCAGGGAGGAAAGGGCTCGAGGTGAGGGGCGAGAGCACGAGATCGTCACTTGCGTCCTGGCTTGCACCTTGTTTTGCTCACACTCGCTTCGCTCTTACATGATCCGACTTCAGTTTCTGCTCATGCCTAGTACACTGCACCAACTAGTGTTGTTATTGTGGTTTTCTTTTCGTTATTCTCTTTTTTGAGATCATAACTATATCGTGAGCTGTTGTGAGGCACCTCAGTTCTCATGACTGCTCAAGCCTTTTTCCTTCCACATGATGACTGTCCCCACCATCGATGCTCCTCTCGCAGCCGAATGCACATCAACTACTTGTACGGAGAGATCCCCTCATTTCTCGTGAACATTCCAAAAATCACACAGCTGTAACTTCTCCAAAATGTTCTGACCCAATAGGGGCCCCCAGGTGACTTTCGGGCAATATTCGGGACATCTCGGAATATGTCCCAAAAGTTACTTTTGGAACTGACACTTTAGGCTAGTTTGAGGTCAGAATGGGTAACCCAAAAGTGACTTTCGGGTCAGGTACGGGTCAGTTACGGGTCAGGTACGGGTGAGAATTTGGCGGGAAAAGTCAGGTACGGGTCAGATAGACTGACCCAGAAGTAACTATGAGGGCAGATTTAGGTCACACGTGTCTAGCACACAATCCGCCTAAACCCCGTCATTGAGTAGGTCGGTTCCCGTTACAGGTTTTACGTTTATATCGGCTACAATATATTTTGCGTGCGCTGTACACACTCGGAATGATCCTCGTTATAATTTAGCCCAGTACAACATTGATTTATGGGAAAATACACTTTGCAAAACCTATATTTACAGAGCACACAATTATTACATATTGCTACCAGGTCCATTATAACCCCTTTACAGGGTATCCATTTTTCGTAATTAGCCTTCCATTTGTAAAAATGTATAATATATATGTTAGAAAACAAAACGCCATACCACAACTACATCATGACTAAGTAAGAAACATGGCCTTGTGCATTTGCTCCAGAAAATATATAAATCAAAGCATAGCACAGCTAAAATAACCTGACAGCACAAAACCCACACATTAGAGTGTGAAATGCCATATTCAAGTGATACATCAGCTTAAATAAAAACCAGCATGTGTTTTGACATAATCACCTTCACTGCAGTGAACTAGAATGACATTGGGCATGTCTGAATAATGAAAAGATCTTCACTTCCATGTAATCTCTAATAAAAAGCCCCCCTGCAAGTAGACACTCTGAAATCATCACGTTTACTACTCAGTGAACCAAGAGAGATTTAGGAATGGCATAATTAAAAAAGCTTCACGTGCGTACCTCCATTATCTCCACTTTCCGTTCTGCGAATAAGCAAAGGAAAGACTACAAAGTTATAGGGAAAATGAAACAACATCAAGCGGATGAAAGACGACTTCAAGGTGTGGCGATATTTGACAAAATTAGAAGAAAGAAAGAGGAATGAACTAGCAGAAATGGGGATACAAATAGCAAACCCTAGAAGGGTTGTACTCGCTATAGAGCACCCCACTACAGGCTAGAACATAAGAATAATATTCTGACACACCCCCATAGCCAAAGTGGGGTGTAATCAGCAGAGCAGGCAAAGCAAAACAAGCTCAGGGTGGATCACAATGTCACCACACATTCTGAGCACAAGTTCAAGAAGAAATAGTTTAGAGTTCACAATTATAAGCAAAGCTAGTGGTAGTCACAACGGGCAAGTGAGGAGGAGGAGGGAGAGTGAGGGGAGAGGAGACAGGAGGCGACGGCTGAAGCTGCAGACACACGGGCAACAGGAGGCAGACTGGCACAGCGGCTACCGGACAGCGCCCGGACTACAGGAGTAACAGGCCCCGCGGCTCAAATAGCGGCGGACGGGCAACGGACCCACGGGCGGCTGGCACAGCTGGCTACGACTGGGCTACCGGGACAGCGCCCCGGACTACAGGTGCTGCGGACGACAAGCCGGCAGCCTCCGCTCAACCCCCCGCAAACAGTCCCACCCCCCTGATACACACCCACTGCTACACCGCTAGCTCTACTCCCACGCACCCCCCTTAAACCCTAAACCCCAGTCTCCCACACAACCACCCCCCTCAGCGACAGCTGCAGCAGTGGGAGACGAAGGAGGAGGAGGAGCAAGGGAGGAAGGCACACCGGCCACCCCCATACCCGCCACCCCACAGCGCGCCCCTCGGGTTTAGGGGGAGGGGGGGGGGGGGGGGGGGGGGGGGGGGGGGGGGGAGGCGGGGTGGTGAAAGAGACCCACCACGGGCCTGGTTGGAGGGCGGGGCCGCGAAAAGGGGCGGGGCCGCGACGAGGGGCGGGGCCGCGAAGTAGGGCGGGGCCGCTTCGAGGGGCGGGGCCGCGACACAGGGCGGGGCCGCGACGTAGGGCAGGGCCGCGACGGTCGGGCGGGGCCGCGACGTAGGGCGGGGCCGTGACGGTCGGGGCGGGGCCGCGACGTAGGGCGGGGCCGCGACTGTAGGGCGGGGCCGCGACGGTCGGGGCGGGGCCGCGACGTAGGGCAGGGCCGCTTCGAGGGGCGGGGCCGCGACGCAGGGCGGGGCCGCGACGGTAGGGCAGACGCCCGCCGCGCGCCTCGGGGCGCACAGCGGGCAAAGAACCGCCGCGCACCCCGGGGCGCACGGCGGGCAGAAAACCGCCACGCGCCTCGGGGCGCACGGCGGGAAGGAAAACCGCCGCGCGCCTCGGGGCGCACGGCGGGAAGGAAAGGTAGCAGCGGAAGCGAGGTGGAAACCCACCCACAGGATCGATCCAAGGGGATCGACCTGCTCTGATAGCATGACAAAATTAGAAGAAAGAAAGAGGAATGAACTAGCAGAAATGGGGATACAAATAGCAAACCCTAGAAGGGTTGTACTCGCTATAGAGCACCCCACTACAGGCTAGAACATAAGAATAATATTCTGACAGGAAAGACTACAAAGTTATAGGGAAAATGAAACAACATCAAGCGGATGAAAGACGACTTTGATAAATCCCAATGGCGGAGAGACAAGAGACGGAGTATAACAGATTTAGGAATGGCATAATAAAAATAAACTTCACGTGTGTGTTGAAATGTATTCGTATATATTTATAAATGCCTACAGTAGAGTTTAGTGTAGTTATATAGTTTCCTGCTTGGTGGTGCACCATTTGCCCATTTCCTTGACTATATCTTGTATGCCTTCTATTATTGAAACACTTTTCTCCTTCCAAAATCTCTCGACACTTTTCCTTCAACCCTTCAACTCGAACTAAGTCACTCCTAACTATGGCTCCTAAGCCAAACTCACGCTAAATTCTTGACAGTGTGTACCTCCATTATCTCCACTTTCCGTTCTGCGAATAAGCAAAGGAAAGACGACAAAGTTATAGGGGAACCGAAACAACAATCTGCTTGGAAAGACGACTTTGATAAATCGCAATGGCGGAGAGACAGAGTATAACATATCTAGGTAACAAAATCAGATCCGCATAACCGTACGACTCACCATGATTGATTATCATTCTGTCGCCGAAGACTCTCATGTTGTGTTGACACTCGTTTTCTGCCAGAGGAAGGTACATAACGGGAAGCAATAAAATATATTAGAAGCATATAGATTTAAGAAAACTGACAGGCGGCGCGGTAGCTGATAGATCTGTAGAAACAGCTCATCGATGGCGAAGTTTAAGTGTGAGAGGACGTCCCCGTTATAATATTTTCTCGCTATTATATTTTTCCGTTATCCTATTCTCCCTTTTCTCCTCTTTATTTTGGTCTTTATCTCATCTCAATCGGCCTACTATTCTATTTTCTAGAGCCTTCTATTTATTCCTCTTATTTCCTACTTTTCCCACCGACATACCTATTATACGGCACCGACAGCGCCGACAGTAGTGTATACGGTGTAATCTGGGCGTAATCCCAAGTGCCAATAGCCTTGCGTGCTTGTGCGCACTTGTGATTATAGTATCGGGAAGGGCGTGTTCCCGAAGGTTCGTTTTATCTCGATTATCCTTGTATTCTCCGAGTATAAAAATGCCTTGTATTCAGTTTTAGTGACAAGTTTCGATTGAGAATTCGATCCTATGACACTTGGTAATCAGAGCCGTTCTCACTCGACGACTCTCGGCTAAGCAGCGGTCGCGGAAAAAATCGCCTCGAAAAACCGCCGGGGGCGACCAATTCAACGCTGATTTCTGGTAAGTACCAGTTCCGCGCTTTTCGAATTAACCCCCTCGCGTGGTTTTTGAACAAGATGGGTTCGCCGGCGACCAACGACATTACGCAGCAGCTCTTCGCGTAAATCGCCAAGATGGAAGCGGAGATGCGAGCGACGACTGAACGGTCGCGATTGGAGAACGAGCAGCTGCGAAACGAGCTGCAGCGCGTTACGTGGCTCCTCTCAACCATGAACATTCCTGCTTCGACGACTTCGCAGCAGTCGCAGCGTCAGTTCGAGGTTCCGAAACTTCGCTCGCCGGAATCGTTCGACCCTAGCGATCGAAAATCCGACGTCAGGCGGTGGCTCGCGTGTGGAAATTTAGAAGAGAGAAGAGGATTGAACTGGCCCCGCGGCTAAAGTAGCGGCAGACGAGCAACGGACCCACGGGCGGCTGGCACAGCTGACTACGACTGGGCTACCGGGCGAAGCCCCCGGAATACAGGTGCTGCTGACGACACGACGGCAACCTCCATGCAGCTTCCCCAAACTATCCAACTCCCCCTGGCACACACCCGCTGCTACACCGCTAGCTCCACTCCCCCTTCACCCCCCCTTAGTACCACTCCACCGGCTCCAACACATCCACCCCCCCTCAGCGGCAGCTGCAGCACAGGGAGACGGAGGAGGAGGAGGAGCGGGGGAGACCACACACCCGCCACCCCCCAGGTCGCCCCTCAGGTCGCCTCGACAGGCGACGGGAAAAGGGGGGGGGGGGGAGGCGGTGCCGTAGGTAGGGCGACGGGGC